GGGGGGCTCTGGGGAGGTTTTGGGCCCCCCCTGACCCCGCTCCCCCTCTTTCCAGGCGTGCTGTCGGAGGAGCAGCTGCGGAAGAAGAAGGTGCGGCGGCAGCAGCAGAAGGGGGCGGGAGGGGAGGCGCCGCTGCCGCAGGTGCCCCCCCTGCCCCCCACGCCCCTCGCCGAGCCGGCCCGGCTCAGCCCCCAGCAGGAGCTCATGATCCAGCAGCTGGTGGCTGCCCAACAGCAGTGCAACAAGCGCTCCTTCAGCGACCAGCCCAAGGTCACGGTGAGGGGCCGGGGGGGGGGGACGACACCCCAGCTTGGGACCAGCCCCCACCTCCACCCGCCCACCCACCGTGTCTCCCACTCAGCCCCACGAGCACCGTTAACCCTTCGCCTCCCCCCCTACGGGGGAGCCCTGTAAAGCACGGAGGGAAACCGAGGCATGCAGGGGTGGCGTAAAAGTATTACCAAGAATTCCCACTTCATTACAGGGTGTCCCCCGAGCGCCTCATCTGGGCATCATGGGGAGGATGCTGCGCCTGGCTTCCCCCCCTGATCTGGGCATCATTGGGCATCAGCCCCCCGCCCCCAGCTTCCATGTCTGGGAGGCCCTGTGGTGCTCCCAACGCGGGGCGGGGTTGGGGGTGTCCCTGGTATCCAGGACTGGGTGCCCCTCGGGATGCTGTGTGTCTCACCGCCCCGCGTCCTCCTCGTCCCCCCCCCCAGCCATGGCCCCTGGGCACCGACCCCAACAGCCGGGAGGCCCGACAGCAGCGCTTCGCCCACTTCACCGAGCTGGCCATCATCTCGGTGCAGGAGATCGTCGACTTCGCCAAGCAGGTGCCCGGCTTCTTGCAGCTCACGAGAGAGGACCAGATCGCGCTGCTCAAGGCCTGCACCATTGAGGTGAGTGGGGGGGGGGGGGCAGGGCAGGGCAGGGAGGGGGGGGCGGCTCACAAACTGCCTGCAGCATGTAGGTCACTACCCATCGGTGTCTGCATGCGCTGCAGTGAGCCATAACTCCCGCCAGCCTTGGTTACACTAGATTTTTTCCCCCCTGAAATGTGCGTCCTGTACTGGCCAGCTCTCCCCTGGACAATACACTTTTATGTAAAGTCCTTTATTGCTTTAATAGAAAAAATACACACGTAACTTGCCACCCCAAATGGAGTTTCCCCAACACTTCAGTTCAAACACGCTGGATTAGATAAAAACAATAAAACACGTTCGTTAAGGACTGAGAGATTTTAAGTTAGTCTGAGTAATGAGGCTGTGATGGTCTGTACTATTATGGTCCCCACTTTTACAAGCCTATGATAAATTTTGTACAAACTTTGCCTCGTTAGGTGTCATTTTAAAAACCTCATAATCTGCCGAACATTAGTGTCATGGTAAAACGTGTGTATCGACATTGTATGTGAAGTTATAAGTGTCCACTGTATAACGTTCCTGTAACATGTTCCAAGGTTAGAAAAGCAGGCTCAAACCAGTTCTTCAGAGACAAAGACGCACTGGTGTCCCCAGCCAGGTATCAGCATAATCAATTAAGAACATAAGAATGGCCAGACTGAGTCAGACCAAAGGTCCATCTAGCCCAGTGTCCTGTCTACTGACAGTGGCCAATGCCAGGTGCCCCAGAGGAAATGAACAGAACAGGGAATCATCAAGTGATCCATCCACTGTCGCCCATTCCCAGCTTCTGGCAATCAGAGGCTGGGGACACCATCCCTTCCCACCCTGGCTAATAGCCATTGATGGACCTGTCCTTCATGAACTGATCTAG